GATTAGGGACAACGCTGTTACTTGCCGGCTGGTAATGTACAATATTTGCCAGTGATTTATTTGAGGAAAGAATGATCGTTACCTTCGCCGCGCGGTACCATTTTCGTTCGTCGTTCACGTGTTGATTTTTCTTTCGTTTTAGAATGCATGTGTATGTATGTATGTATGTATGTATGTATGTATGTGTGTGTGCGTGCGTGTGTGTGTGTGTGTGTGTGTGTGTGTGTGTGTGTGTGTGTGTGTGTATGTGTAACAACATACCGTGGCGAATGAACACGAGAGACAGGTCGCGGAAGTTGAATCAAGCAAGAGTCTGATATGACTTCTCAGTGGCGTCTTACTGGTGTCTCCGCGGTCCTCCCGTTAAAAAACAGTCATTCTAATCGAACTGTTCCGGCTACAAAGGACACAAACAAGCGGAACTCTTCGACGAAACGGTACACGGGCGTGTCCCCACCCTCTTCCTCGTGTATTATGCACCAGAAACGTATCTTTTAACGCCGGACGTTACGTCATTCGCCTGGATCGTCCCACTTTGTTTCCTCGGCTATTCGATCGAAACAATCGGACAGGAACGTGTACTGTGAACAGAAACGTTCGAAAACGGCTGTTGTAACAAGGACATGGAAAATGAGGAAGAAGACACGATCAGTGTATGACTTGTGTAGGAAAAAAAAAGACACTCACGTAAGGCGTGAAGACCTTGAGCCAACGAGGCGGACGATTGTCCTGGCGCGTATACTGGAAGCAGAACGCCATACCTTCCTCGTCTATCTCCCATCGAGCGATGGTGTTCCATTGGAACTCAACAACCTGCGACTCCAAGGTGCCATCCTCCTTCGCCGCGTGAAGCTTGAACGCCGCCGCGCCGACAGCGGCGACTACGTGTCCCTCCTTCCTGGAATCGCACGCGCAGTGAGGGAACACGATGTCCCCGTAACCGTTCAACTCCTTCGCCAGTTTTAGGTACTGCAAACGTTACACAATTCCGTTAGAACTATATCGATCGAACCCCATACGCGGTACTCCATGAAAATTTATTCCCAATGATCCACTCTTCGTACCTCGTGTTTCCTCGACGCGTCCTGCAGAGCTTTCAACTGGTACAACCGTTCGCCAGCTGTGATGTGACCCCTGTTCACTTCGTCGATGGTCTGCCAGAAGATCCATGTCAACGCTTGCTCGCTCAACGGCCTATTTACATTGAATAGCCACCTCCGTATCGCGAGGCAAGTCGCGCTAGCGGTCGAATAGTTCTGAATGTACAATGTGTGAGGATGCTCGTGGGGTTGCAACTTCCGTTCTGCGAAAAAAAAACACCGAACAACGTCATCGTAAAACGTCTCTACAGAAACCATAGTTTATAACAGTATTCACGGTATTGATCATATCAAGTGTATCGTAAGTCTTCAATGAGTGGTGGAAGGCTCCTCTCGGCACTTAACATAAATATTTCAAGAACTAATAGCCATATGCGGCTGAAACAAATACAATTGGTTTCAAAATCCCACGCTCTATCACTATGCAATACATCATTAACCCTTGTAAATTTCCTTTCACAATTTTTTATGTTCTTGCCTAAAACAACACTTGATATATTATAGGAAGGGAAAACTAAGAGTTTCGGAAAAGTATGAAAATAAAATTATCTATCTAATCTGCCGGAATAGTACTATTCCGATTGCTCAATAACCGTGAACATTTTGGATGCCCACACAAGGGTTAAAAAGTCAGTTACTGTATTACCCACCGAAATTGTACTCGACGATCTCGAACAGATAAAAGTACTTGGCCGTTTCCGCGTCCATTCCGACACGACTGCAGACCGCGTCGTACACGTCCTTCACGGACGCGGCTTTCGCGACAGTGACGGTGACGACCTCGCGATCCGGCAATAGAACTTTCAGATCGACCGCGGGCCCTTGGTCCCCGTCCTCCTCGAGTCTGTCGGTCAGGAAATCTTGCATCGCGTCGCTCTCGGCGATCACACGAATCGCGCATACCTTCTCCAGGTACTGCTCCAATCCCCGTCTTCTCGCGTCGAGCTGTTGCTCGCTCAATCTGCAGGGAAAGAAGACAACATTAGTGTTCATAACAAGGTGTTAATTTTAACACGAGCATCTAAATTATTTCCGCTACTATTGAAAGTAAGAAAAAAATGACTAAACAGGATGTACGTGGTTTTAAGGTGTGCATTTGATGGTGATAAAAAAAAATCCTGTGAAGGTCATGTTAACGGTTTTTTTCAAGGACATCATATTTTTTTTGCATATTAATATGTATTTCTTTATCGTGACATAGGGCTGAGATTTGGAGGTCATTCTGCGGTCAATTCGATTTTTGAAAATAGGAACCCCTATTTGTAGCACTAGAAATGGAAAGTACGGTCATTTCGATCCAAGGATGTGACCATGTATCTGAACGTAAAATTTTCCGTTCTGTTCAGTTCTGGTGATAAAAATGACAGTTCCCGTTAAAAAAAAATCGAACTGACCTCAAGATGACCTGTAAATTTGACTCCTACGATCGAGGTCACCATCAGATGCCTCTTATAAACACTCAAACTTTCGTATCAAACATGTCTTGCTAAAACCTCAACCTTCCTAGTTAATCCTGCGTACTCATCTTTTCGGTACACCACTTGTATAATTACATTTATGTAGTTAGTGTTTTCTCTTAGAATTTCAAATTAAATAAATAAAATATCGTGCGGCTGGACACTCTGCCGTAACAATACCCACATACAAGGTGTGTTCCCGAATGTACGAATCGGATAAAAGCTTCCGAAGTTTCCAATAATAATTACAGAACGAGTATACAGGTGTCTAAACAGTAACTACGTACTGGAACGGCCATTTGCCGGGCAGTTTCGGAAAGTTGAATCCGATAAACTCTTTCTTCAGCGCGACGTGCAACGCGGCGAACTCCCGATAACGACGGGAGCACAAGTGTCGGCCGGCCATATGGACGTTGAAGACAACATAACGTTCGTGTTTCCTCTCGCGGACGTGATAGTCCGGCACGCTGATAGGCAGGGAACGTTTCTCGCTGTAGTCCACCGACGCGTAACTAGGAGAGAAAGTAGACGTTATTCAGTGTCCACGGGGGATCGGGTATAAGAACACGCGACAAAAATACACGTTACATCATTTAAAACAAAATCTCACAAAGGCCCTTGAAGAGGCGAACATACCTAAGATCCTCGAACGGCTCCAGTCGTTCCGCCTCCTGCGGCGTCACGGAAATGACGGTCAACGTCAGAACATCGCCCCCGGACTTGATCAAGTCGACCACTTGTTTGTGGGTGGCTCCCTCGACGTTCACGTTGTTCCTGCAACAGACATCCGCCCGTGGCGATTCAACATCATCCTCGACACGGTCCAGGAGGCTCGTCAAAACAGAACATTACCCTCCGACGATCGTTCGAAGACGCGAACCCATGCGGGAACCGCGACGTTTCTCCATCCACTCGCATTGCACCGCGGTCACGTAACAAGTCAACATATCGCAACACGATTCCGGGTTTATCAGGAAAGATTGGAACGTTAGTACGAAGACGGAACAATAACTGGCACGGTCGCGAAAACACTGATCATCGGAGACCAACGGACCAACGGTTCGAATAATAATACAGTGGGAGGGGAAATTTCTCAGTGTCCCCTTGCCAACCGGATCAAGATTCCGGGTTGGGCTTTCGCGATGGAAACTGGAGGCGAACAGGTGATCAGCCTTGCCGACGAGCTACGAAACTCCCAAGTGTGTGAAAGGACGGTGGTGGTAGAGGAGACGTTTTTATTGGTTCGCTAGCGGAGGCACGGACCACGACTAAACTCTCAACTAGCCTGTCCCACCTCTCCCCACCCACCCACTGTGTTTTATACTTCTGCCAATTGCCTTCTGTACCCCCGCCGAAGTTTATTCTAAATATTATCTGTGCTTCCGCGGTGAACCGGACCAGTTGCGGCAAGATAACGGAGTGTGTGTTTTGGTTTTTCTTCTCGAGAGGGAAAAAACGAAGAAAAACGTCACGTCTTCGGGATTTCGCCTCGATACACGTATTGGGGGTGTTACGAATTTTATATTCGAAATATTCGAATTATTCGGAATATTCGGAGCATTCGGATTATTCGAAGTGATCGAATTTTTTATTGTATTGAATAGGAATCTGAACATAGTACGTTTTTTTTACACTTTATCGTGAAATTTTGTTCAGATTGGCCTTGACAATTATTTGTTTTTCAAACGTTAAATCTAAATCTTCGTCATTCTTTGGTGATATTATCATTTTTGAAACGAGAGCAATTATCATTTGTTGGTATTATTATTCGAATCGTTTTACAATTATTATTCGAATAAATTGTTCAAATAAATAATGGTGAATTATTCCAATAAGTAGAGAGAACAATTTTTTACTATTCAAATTATTCGAATACTTCATACTATTCAAATATTCGAATACTCCGTATTATTCCAATATTCGAATACTCCGTATTATTCCAATATTCGGATACTCTGTACTATTCAAATATTCGAATACTCCATACTATTCAAATTATTCGAATACTTCATACTATTCAAATATTCGAATACTCCGTATTATTCCAATATCCGAATACTCCGTACCATTCAAATTATTCGAATACTTCATACTATTCGAATTATTTAAAGTATTCGAATTCGTCACGCAAATTATTCAAATAGTTCGAATATCCGAATACTTACAGTTCTAACACGTATCTCTGTTGACACTTTTCCATCTTAGCATTCTCGTTACTGTTCTCGGAGTGATCGAGCTGTTTTTTCTTGCGACGGAATTGACTAACCGCGTGGAAGGGAACATGGTCTAGATTCTAGATTTGCTGCGAGTTCAAAGAGAAACTTCTCTGCCTTTCTTCGTAACTTTTTTCCGCGACTCGAGCGGCGATTCTTATTTTTAAACGCGTACTGCTATTTTTACGGCGAACCCTTTTGCAGATTCTTTGCGTTTAGCCTGAATGGCTATCGATGCAATGGAAAATCGCTGCTTGTGTCCCGTGTGTTCGATTTCGCAACACCGTGAACGAAGTGAAATAAAGGAAATACGGGCCACTGCTATTGATCGAAACGCAGAAATAGAATTATCGAATACCTCCAGGGGGTCTGTCTAATCATGGAAATTTCGTGGACAATAATGTTCAAACGTGATTCTGGAGTCTCGAGAGTTCGAATCCCATGGATCGTTCGGTTCTGATGTACGGATCAGCGACGCGAGACCCGAAGTGATCGAGGAGATTCGTGGACAGCTACGATACAATTATCGCTCGATTCTTTTCCTTCTTACAAAAATTGTCGGGTCGAAAAATGTACAACGTGATAACGGTACGGTCGAGACCGTGTCTATTTTTATCGAACGTTATCGAACAAACAATTAACGTGGATTTGGTTTTATTTATTACACTTTTTGCCATCGATCAGCTTCTGGAAACTAAATTCTATTTAGTTTATCATTGAGAAAGTCTCCTCCTATTCACCAGCTCGCGTCTGAAAGAATCACTCGCTTTTTCGTTCTGAAACTCATTGAACTCTTTACGCTCGTTTCAATCGCCTAAATCGACTTTTCATTGCCCCCAACATCTTCTGAAGCTTCCTTAACTTCTTTGACGCTTCCCTTAACTCCTTTAAGCTTTCTGCTCGTGCCGCTGTTCGTGATTCCTCATCATTTTTAACCCCCAACGCAAAAAGAAGGGGTGTTATAAGTTTGACGTCTATGTTTGTGTCTGGCTCCGTAGCTCATCAACGAATGATTCGATTTTGATGCGATTTTTTTTTGTTCAAAGTGTATATTCCCGGGAAGTTTAATAGCTATGTTTGGTCAAAATCGGTTCAATAGTTTTCAAGTTCTTCAACATTTTCCACAATTTCTGAAGGGATCTCAGCCACGGTTGTTGTACCTCGAGTTTGGACTCGAATCTTGAGGGTCTGATGATGACGAGGAAAATAACAACTGGATCTAATAAATAAATAAACCGTTCCTTTTGTGTCGGGGGTTTTTAAATTTTTTAATTTTCCTTTCTATTTCTTCCCTTTCCTTGAGCCTCATCTATCTTTATGTTCTCTCTAACACTTTCTTGCCAATACTTGTATTATAATATTGTACTTATTCCGTACTTTACCTTCATACTTTTATGTGACAAAGGAGACTTCCCGTAAATAAATTTACATTACTAATTTATATCGTTATTTACCTCGAATATACGATAAATGTACTTTTTTTTGGTCATTATTTTACAGTTTTACGTGTGCTTCTCACACCTACTCTATCCGCTCGTCTTCCTCGAATCCACTAGACGAGGCCTTAATCGGCGAAGTCGCGGGCGGTAATTGAAGAGAAAGCTGAGCGTGCAGATAGCAATAAATTCACTGAATGAACGTTAACATCTTGGGTGAGCGAGATCGATTGTTCAAGCCAGAAAATAACCTGACTTCGTGACGTGCTCCCTCCCTGTGTATGTTTCTTTTCTCTGAATCACGTCGACGATCATCCCTCCGAGATTATAGATCATACCCCCGGGGTTATGAATCCTCCGTGATGCCACGTATGTTTTACAGTGTAAAACCGCATATCGAAGGTTCTGTTTTCGTATAAAGTTTACACGAAAGTAGAAGCTTCGATACGCGGACATAAATCGAGAGCGTTCCATCAGATTGCGATATATGTATACTATTTGCAATACACTTGACTACGTGGCGTAGGAAAGAGGTCATGTACATTTATCTGAACGCCGAATGTATTTACACTTTATCGGTTGCTTCGACGGAGCATCCCTCTCCTCGACCGATCGACAAGACCTCGGTCGATATACGAAATCCGATGGAAGTGTAAGCTCTCGAATCGATCGAATTCCTATTGTTTCCTAACCGGATAACAACCGTAAACATACGTGGATCGCCTCTTGGAATTATTGAAAGTATCCGAACAATAATAACTAGACTGGAAATTGTGAGAAAAAAATAATTAAAAAAAAAAAAAAAAAAAGATATATCGAAAGATTGAAGAAGAAGGTATGTAAAGGATTGGAGAAATATGGAAGGTACTGCGTACAGTCAGTTGAAAAAGTCTTGGTGCGTGCTTTAAAACAGAATTTTTTTTAAATTGGACCAAGTGATTTGAGTTTTTTTTTCGTGGAGTTAGAAGGATTAGTTTTCTAAATGATGTGTAAAAGAAAATTTCTAAACAGTAGCAATTGGTGGGAGTCGCCACGAAAACAACGAAGGTGGTTTTTATAATCTTTTTTATCCGAGACTGTAATGAAAATTTAAAACATACATTTCTTCGATTTGTGTTAGTTATATACAGGCTGAAAAATTTCATCGAAATTAGTGAAGGTTGCTACGAGATACAAATGGTTAAGAAAGTGGAAAATCGAAGTTTTTCGCGACTTTCGACCTACAACTGTAGTAAATATAAAGATTCTTACATCTTTCGATGTCAGTCGATCGTTTCTGTATCAACCGATTTCAATAAGAGTTGCAACATGTGTGTAACTAACATAAATCTTCAAAATGTATTTACTAAATTATTCATTACAGTCTCAGATAAAAAAGAAAAGGTGCAAAAAGCGACCTTTACTATTCTCTTCGCGATTCCGACCAATTGCAACTTTTTCCACATTTTTTTATTCATCATTTAGTAAACTAATCCTCCTAACTTCACAAAAAAAAAAATCAAATCATATGAATTTTTCCAAATTCTTCTGTATTAAACGGTGGATGGAGTCATTTCTTTGCCTGACTGTATGCACAGGGCTTACGCTACGTGTCCACGTGAGGTTCATTACCGAGGGCACTAGTAAAGCTGTGTCTTCATTTGATGGTTGATCTCACACATACCATAAATATCACACGATTCACGTGGCCTGTCTAACAGGAAAACATTGTCGGTTTTCTTATATCACAGATAAAGTGACAATTGTGTATAAATAACTACGCGACGAAATTCGAATTAACGTTTAGAACCTCATCTGCGTCACTCGACAATTATGCAACGAAATCGGTCGGACTGTCTCTCCCCCTCTCCCGTCTGAAACCGTCATAAAATCAACTTCAAAAGATATGTCGGCGTGTAAATAAACATCACCCGAGTTCCCGTAGTCCCGTCGAACTCCTGCGTGACATTCCAAAAAACTGGAAGCGAGACAACGTTACGAATTGTCGTATGCAGAGCAAGAATTGCGCTTCCTCGCAGCTACTTGCTCGTGGAATTACACGGTCGATCCAATGAGATTAGGCTGGCTCCGATTAGCAGAGCTAATTACAGTTGGTAATGGTGTTGGTCGTGCCGGTGGCAACAGT